ATTAAAATTAATATTAGGTATGGCTTAATACAATGTAGATTCTGAATAGAAACAATGAAGAAATCTGAGATTTAGCCCAAATTAAATTCACCAACTATACACACAGTCCCCCTTTCCCCTGCACACTGTCCTTCCCTACATACTGTGCACCCTCTGCACACTGCCCCTCTTCCTCTGCAAACATTGCTCCCTGTCCACACTGCTCTCCTCTGCACAAATCCCCCCATCCCAGTCCCCTGCACACATTGCCTCCTACCTCCCACCGGTACACATTGCCTACCCTGTGTAAACACTGCCCCATGCACATTGCCCCCTTGCAAACATGGGGGGTAGTTAAATGATAACTTCATTTTTTAACAAAAAATAATGAATGCACATTTGTTCGCAGGTAAAAAAAACTTGCATTTACTATTTTTCTTTTAGGAACCTGGAAAGCATTGCATCAGCTGATCGCCTGTTGCCACTCCTGCAGACTATCAGTGTATGCTGTTCGATGTACGGCAGTTTGACACTGACAGGAACAATCAATGAACCACTAACAGCACCATGGAAGTTCATTGAGAATTAAAAGGCGACCTCACACCTGTCTTCAGCCCTGCAGAACATCACACCTGAAAAAGAGAGGAAGTGCAGTATAGAAAATTTATTAATATACAAACACATCCTAATTCATACTTCCTGATCCTATGGACTGAGCTACTGCTGGACAGCTGGATGTCTCACCTGCATCTTAACACACCACACAATGAGTCTATTTAACTATTTATCTTGTAAGTGCAATTTATCTATTGTTCATTAATAAATTGTCTATATTGCACTTAGAGGCGCCTTCCTCTCTTTTTCATGTTTACTGCATTAGAGCCTTGCTTCCACTCTAAGAAGAGCTGCCTAAGTGTTATTGCTCCCATCCATCCATCCCTGATATCCATCTGGCACCTTGATCCTACAGCTACAGAGGTTGGGCTCTAACAAGCACATCCTATATAACATACAGAACTCACACCTGTCTCCCCTCTCCTGCAGAACATCACTCCTGTGTCCCCTCTCCCTGTCCTGCAGAACATCACTCCTGTCTCCCCTCACCCTGTCTTGCAGAACATCACTCCCGTCTCCTCTCTCCCTGCAGAACATCACTCCTGTCTCCCCTCTTCCTGCCCTGCAGAATATTACACTAATCTCCAGCCCTGCAGAACATCACACCTGTCTCCCCTCTCCCAGCCCTGTAGAGCATCACACCTTTCTTTCCTCTCCTAGTTCTGCAGAACATCACACCTATCTTTGGTCCTGCAGAGAATCACACCTGTCTCCCCTCTTCCTGCCCTGCAGAACATTACACCTGTCTCCAGCCCTGCAGAACATCACTGTCTCAATCCTCCCAGCTCTGCAGAGCATCACACCTGTCTCTCCCCTCCCAGCTCTGCAGAGCATCACACCTATCTCCTTCCTCTCACCCCTGCAGAGCATCACACCTGTCTCCCTTCTCCCAGCTCTGCAGAGCATCACACCTGTCTCCCACCCCTGCAGAGCATTACATCTGTCTCCCTCCTAACACCCTTGCCTTCCTCCTCCCAGCCCAGCAAAGCATCACATCTGTCTCCCAGCCCTGCAGAATATCACACCTGCCTACCTACTCCCAGCTCTGCAGAACATCACACCTGTCTCCCTCCTCCCAGCCCTGCAGAACATCACACCTGTCTCCCCTCTCCCAGCCCTTCAGAGCATCACACGAGAACAGAGATATTTTGCACGGCTAGGAGAGGGATTACAAAGCACTGTCAGTAAAACAAAGAACTTGCCATAGTTCTTACCTTGCTGCTGCCCCCCCCCCCATACCACGGAGCTCTCCAGACCCGCCTCCACATGGCTGGAACAGCTCTCAATCGGAGCTCTGCTCTTCAGTAGTGCTACCACCTTCTCCACCCGCAGGACAAGGTAGGAACTGCAGCAAACCAGGAGGAAGGGACAAGGCCGGGAGCAGGGAAGTAAGACAGAGCAGAGGATCAGGCTGTGCTCCACCTTGTCAGCCCGACAACACTGACACACCACGTGCGTTCTCTGTAGCAGTGTCGGAATTGTACCCCCACCCATCCCTGCTCCAGAGGTTTCCGGGCAGTGCGTACTGAAGCTGCCCATTTTGCCCTGCCTTAAAGACGGCCCTGGCTTCGTAAACAAAAAATGTTGATTACGCTTCTATATTGAGGAATGAAACCTGACTTTCCTCCAGTGACTCTGAATAATCCTAACACGTGTTTTACCAGAATATTTTTTTTCCATTAAATGGAATAGAGCACAAGCTCTGTTTGGAACTTGTATCTGTTGCCCAATGCTTAAACAATTGGGCTTTTTTTTTTTTTCCAGTGAATGCATTTTGTCTTAGCTGAGAAGAAAGGCACACCAGGTCACGTTACTTCTGCTTCATAGACTGCTGCTACACATACTGTATTTCTTTCAGAACGCCTAGGTAACAGACGTATTTGAACCTGACAGAACCGCTGCCTTAACATTATCACCAAGGTGAGAGCCACTGCAGGCCTACATGCCATCCCCACTTAGAAATAGATCTTTTTCAAATCTTGATCAACCTTTCTGTCCATCAGATCTCTAAATGACATGGAGTTCCCCATAGCCAGTGATGTGATGCTGAACGGCTACAAAGAAGCATTTACCACAGGGAGAGTCTAAGACCCCATTCACATCTGAGCGTAGTGGGAACCCACGTTCCATCTCGCCTTTTTTATTTTTTTTTGCGCTTTTCACGTTAACACTCATAACACCTAGTCAGTTGAATTGGCTGCCCTGTGTGCAACAAACGACTCAATGTAGCTCAAGATCCTTTTTACTCATGGAGCATCGGACATTTTTCAGTGCACATTTTGCATGTTTTGCAGCGTGTTTTGTCAAACGAAAAATGCATGTCTGCGACCAGCTCTTGTAGTCCTATTAATGGCACTGCAGGTGTACCCAGAACATAAAATATATCTCCCGATCATGCAATCAGTACAGAGTATTCAAACAGTGGCAAGACTACATATACGTACGGCAATTTATTAGATATCCGCCATATTGTACACATACAGAGAAAGCAGTCTAGAACATAAGCATCAGCTGAAGGACCCCGTAGGAGTCGCATTTGGACCAGCTCTAGAAGACTTAGTCCAGGAGTATCGTGCCAAGGAGCCCAAAGCTTTTCAAGTTTGCCAGGGCTGCCCCTGTGCTGCTGGTATATATAATTTTCTAATCTCAAGGAGTCCCCCAGAGAGCGAATCCATTCCCGCAGGGAGGGAGGATTTCCAGTGGATCAGGAGTAATTTACATGCCACAAACATGGCTCTGGAAATGGCTTCCTAAACAAACTCTCTAGGTTCTGCATCCCCCAAGATATTCAAACAACTTCTAGGGTCTAATGGAATGTTAGCTTGGAACACCATATTAATGGTGTCTACCACCCCCCCTTCCAATATAAATAAAGTTTAGGGCAACGCCAAAGTAGGTGTATAATATCACTATGGTCACGTTGGCATTTAGACCATAGTGACCCAGAGTGCTGAGCAAAACAGCACGCACAGCTTTACTTCTTCCCCGAGGACACACAATACAGTACCTAAAGCAGAGCGTCCTGCTCCTCAGTTTACTGAGGAGACTTTTACTTTCACTTTCTACCTCTTCACTGTCTCCCTCTATGAATCAGCTTGCAGCACTCACCGAACGACAGAATGACCAGGAGCTGACCTTGTTGATGGGGCTGCCCGTAACCTCTATGTTCACCTCCGAGATAGCAGCTGTCACAACGGGCTGCCCTTCCTGCTACGGCTTATTTTATGGGTATGTCTCATTTTCGGGGAAACACGGTAGTTATAGATTGGGATGATTGCCATTTGTTGACACTATTGGTGAATTGGTTGGGGTGATGTACTGAACACCTTCACTGCCATTGTGCTATTTCTGGGTGTCCAGTGCATTACTATACCATTAAGGAGGGGTGGGCTCCCTCCAGGCATACCTGCTCTTAATCTATCCATTGTTATACATGTGCTCTAACGCTAGAAACTCTCAAAATCTAGAGCGTTAGGCCTGCAGATATACTGGGGTGCCATGACATGGCCTCTGCAGCTTACCCATATAGTTTCAAATGTGTGAATACTAAGGGCTCGTTCGCACTTGACTTTTTTTCTAACTCTTGACAAATGCCCCTATAGCGTTTGACAGGCGTTCGTGAAGCGTTTTTAACGTTCCCATAACGCCCTATGCGTGGTTTTGAAGCAGTTGATAGGCGTTTGCCAAGTGTTAAAACCGCACCAAACTCCTATAATGAAGTTAAATGGTATTAACGCTCCGCAAACGCACCTTCTTAGAAAACATATCAAATGTTTAAAACTATTTTCTATTGTGAATAAAAGATTTGCAAATCATCACATTCTGTTTTTAAGCAGATTTTACACAACGTCCCAACTGCTTTGGAATTGGAGATGTAAACACAGCTAATGGCAGAAATGAATCTTTCTGAATTAGACAATCAAGAAAACTGACACACAATTTTATTACAGGGTAGTATTTAAATTTATTTACATACTTAAATATTTAAAGTAAATGTACAGGGAAATTTGTGAACATACATTATGTACCCTCCAGCACCTCCTTTTAGCAATAACTGAATGCCAGAGTATATTCTGTATAATAAAGTAATTGCAATCTCTCTAAGTGTGTTCTTTGATATTGAAAAAGTAGAACTGTGTTCCCAAAAAAAGCTGACCAGCAGCAAGCATTGACCAGATACAGTAAAATTAACTAACAAATGCACTTTCAAGTCAAACAAAGAAAGAAAACAATCCTTGCATTAGGTTACTCCTCAATACAAATATGTTGCAATTTGAACAATAAATGGAGCAGACTGTGCCAACGTGTGTCACTAGTCAACTTTTTTTTCATGCACAGAGTGGTTACTCTGGAATATAGTGTGCACAAGAGAATCATTTTTTTGAAACGTTGTTATGTTTACATCTTCAAGGGTCTGTAGGATTTCTTGTAGTAATACTATGGGGAAAAAAAACAAAAACAAAATCATTGATCTACCAACACACATAAAATGTAATACCTTTGTTAAAGTGAATATATAAAATATCTATACAAGCCATTCTGTGGTTTACTTTAAACATAAATATATTTCTATTTCAATATGCAGTCAGCTTTGAGGTTTGCAAACTTGCATTCTAAAATAGCTTCTTTGTATTCATAGCAACTATTGGGTCATTCTGTGCATTGCTTGTACAGAACTCACACATAAAAGTTAATTTCTGCTGCTGAAGTGATTGGCTGATGCAGGTTATCTTTTATTGCAATGTTGAACAGAAAGCAGTCTGTAAATGGAAACTGACTGCAGGAAGAAGAAAATGAGAGGAATCCAGGTTTCAGTCCCAACAAAAACTACAGGCAAGTCGCTCCAATAAAAGTTTGCTAAAAAAAATCTGTCACAATACAGCCCTTTCCTGCTCAGTTTTATGAATTGCAATTTAAAGGTATTATAAACCTGCCTACCTGTACCTTGGTTTGCACTTGTAAAAGATGTGCTTTGATTATGTAGTTTCATGGTGTCATTTGTTGCCATGTATGCACAGCCTATAGTAGAGTAAATCTTCATATTTCGGTGTCAGAAATTTGTTTAAGTTCAATCATGAAGCATTTGGAATGGCACTGCACAGTTTAAATGTATGAATTATATTTATAGTCTAAGAACTGACACTTCCTGTAAAGAAATTACATATCTTACACTCTCTCTCTCAGTCTAGTGCTCTGCAGGTGAAATAAATGAAAGTGATTGTAAAATCTTTTTTCTTTTCAAAAATAACAAGCGTGTCATATATAGAGCCAACTATTCTCAGTTACATTATTCTTAATCTGGCCATAGATGCCATGTCAGATTTTTCAAGCGATTATTGCCAGCAGCTATAGTAGTTCGCCATAATCACTGTGTTCTCCCAGCAGGAACAGCTCCCCGTGCTCAAACTTTTCACATTCTCAGTTGGCTTTAGATTTGGGCTTTTACTGTGCCAGACTAAAAAACAATCATTGTTTGCTTGGCTAGTAGATGTGTTCATTGCAGAGTAATTACTAAGTAAACAGTTCAATGCCCCAGGATCAGTGCATCAGCATGGTGTGTCACAGCGCACATCAGCAGTGCTGGAGTGAACAAGCAACAATGTATAAACATTGTGAATATTTACACATTTGTTCACTAACATTCAAAAACCATTACAGACATTTCCATTTTTTTCAAATAGAAATTAAAAAGTGATTTTAGTCACCAGTCAGTTGAGACTCAAAATCTTGACATATCCAATGATAAAGACTTATGAAACATATTACCTTGCTGACTGTAAGTTCATGCCCTTTAATGCTAGGGTTTCAAATTGTTGGAGAGCTTGAAGTTCCTCTTCAGACAAAGGTGGTACCTATAGATAAAACACAGAGGTACATTGTTTATTATGTATACCATGCACACAGGAAAATAAATTCAAACAGATGCAGTTTAGTAAATCAAAGCAAATGGCTGAATATGTTTAAATACCATAATTTCTAATGATTTACTTGCTACAAGATGTGCAATTCTCCCCGGCCAATCATTGTAATACAGACATCTGTAGTACTTCCCAGATAGACAAGTGAAGAGCTTATTTGCTAGTTCAGCAATACAGCTTCCTCTGTCACCTATGTCAGGAACCAGCAGGGTAATTTTGCCATTTTAAATGAGTAGCCCTTCAGACAGTAATGCATTTTAACTGACAAAAAACAAACAAACAGTCTTTTCTTCAATTTAGGCTTTTTATATTCCCCTGGTGATCCTGCCAGTAAATCTGTTTTTCAACAGAAAAAGCTATCCTGCAGTTGTAGCAGTTAGAGGGTTGAAACATATCATTTACCACTGATAGAGGTGCTTACAATGATCAACTTATTTACGTTAAAACATTATTCCCAAAGGGGGGGGGGGAAAAAAAAAAAACAAAAAACATTAAAAAAAAAACTGTTGCTGAAACTGCTTATAAAATGTTAACTGGAGTTTGATGTCTTCAATTTGATAGTGTATCTAAATCTGCTAGTAAATCTAAACACTCCCCTCCTGATGTTGTGTAAAGGTGCCCCTGTGCACATCTAAAGGATTATAAGCTGCAATATATTACAATTTTGGTTTAGGTTTAATACCTCTTTAAAAAAGTCCTCAGTACCTAAAATTGTATTTAAAATTTGAGCTCCACAATTTAAAAACAGACTAATATTTTACATGTTTTAACAATTGTATTCAAGAAAATCAAGAAATGACAGTGTGCCCTGTAAGTTAAATACAGGCATTTTCCACAAAGAAAGTAACAACTAAAGGAGGCAATAAGATAATTGTGTTGTCAATATATCTATAGTGATATATGGTTAACTTGTCAAGGATGACATACATATATTCATGTACTGTAAGTCATCAACAGCGAAAGTGAAAGAAAATCCCAAATTTTGGGTTGTCGCCAGAATAGAAGTGAAGGGGAAATCTTCTAATGGGTACACTAGTTGTGGTAACCTTAGGTGACAACCAGGAATTCCCTCACTTTGGAGAGATTTCTTCACACACTTCCTGCTTTGGCAGGACAGGCAGTGAAGGCAAAAATCCCCAATGGGACACAAGGCAAGGGGAAAAAAAAGACCACCATATGGGGGTATACACACGCTGGGGTAATTATGATCCTCTCTGTCATGTTCAGCAGACAGTACTGCACACTGAGCGTGCCTCATTCAAGTGAATAGGGCAATGCATGTGCTTGCAGTGCAGTGGTGAGCTTTTAAATGGGTAAAACAGGCAGTAAAAATGCAACATTGGGCCTCTTCACTGCAGGTCAAGTGTATGTGTAAACAACCCCTTAAAGAGGCCCCTGTAGGTAAATACAAGGTCTGCATAGATTGTCAGGGCTTCCTCACACTTTGAAAATCCCCCAGTGTTACTAGATTCAAAAACGTACCTGTGATAAAGAATACTAGATTCATACTTACCTTGCCCCTGTCTACCACCAGCAGAGCACAAACAAGGGTGATATCAACTCCTTCCAGCGCAACCCTGAAAATCGCAGAAATTCTTCCAATTGACTGGCGTGCTATCTTGAATTTTGTCTGCACCGTATTACCGGGGAATCTTCCCAGAAGGTCAAGGCAATGCGAAAGATGGGGGTAAGGCAAATATACATTTTTTTTACTTGTACCTTTTGCCCCTGGTAACAATAAATGATTTCTAAAAGGAAGGGGGGATGGGGGTCCGAGATAGTATATGCAGACCTGCAAGGCCACTTGTCTTAGATCAAACAGGAAGTGAAAGTAAAATCACTCAGAGTGAGGATTACCTCCCAATACGTGTAAATTAATTGGTTTACTTCTTTTTTCAGTAATCAGCGACTTATAGAGGGACTGTGGCGGGCATTCTGACACTGGGGGAACAGACTTGGTGTCAGTGATCAGTGCTAATAAAAAGCACTGACACTGTACGAATGGCACTGGGCAGGAAGGGGTTAACATCTGGGGAGATCAAATTATTATTATACAGGACTTATATAGCGCCATCAGTTTGCTCAGCGCTTTACATTATGGAGGGAGACAGTACAGTAAGAATACAGTTCAATACAAGAGGGATTAGAGGGCCCTGCTCCTTGGAGCTTACAATCTAGGAGGGAGGGGATAGTGGTACAAGAGGTAATTAGCTTTGGGGGGAGTAGGGGATTCCAGTAGTTAGCCGGGGTCAGGGTAGGCTTCCCTGAAGAGGTGAGTTTTCAGAGTGCACCTAAAAGTGAGCAGGGTAGGGAGTTCCAGAGGATGGGTGAGCCCTTGAGAAATCCTGGAGACGAGCATGGGAGGAGGAGACCAGGGAACTAGAGAGTAGGAGGTCTTGCGAGGAGTGAGGAGAGTGTTTGGGTGGTGTTTAGAGACAAGGTCGGTGATGTAGTTAGGGGCAGTGTTATGAACGGCTTTGTACATCAGTGTTTTGAATTTTATCCGCTGGGCAATTGGAAGCCAGTGGAGATATTGGCAGAGAGGGGTGGCAGATACAGAGCGGTTAGTAAGGTGAATGAGTGGCAGCAGCATTCATGATGGACTGGAGTGGGGATAGCCTGCCATTGAGGAGGGAGTTACAGTAGTCGAGGCGTGATATAATAAGGGAGTGGATGAGTTGCTTAGTGGTTTCCGAGGTTAGGAACGGTCGTATCTTGGAGATGTTGTGGAGGTGAAGTCTACATGAGTTTGTCAGTGATTGGACCTAGACCTTGGAGTCTAGGATTACACCTAGTACCCTGGCGTGAGGGGTGGGACTGATGGTAGTGTTGTTGATCTTGATGGAGAAGTTGGGGGGCACGGGCTGGGGGGAATACTAGAAGCTCAGTTTTGGAAAGGTTGAGTTTGAGGAAGTGGAGTGACATCCAGTCCGATATGTCACTTAGTAGGCTGGTGATCCGATCTGAGACTGAGTGGGTGAGGTGAGGGGTAGAGAGATAGATTTGTGTGTCGAAGGCATAGAGATGGTAGTTGAAGCCGTGTGAGTTTATCAATTGGCCAAGGGAAGAGGTGTAGGTGGAGAAGGAGGGGTCTGAGGACAGAGCCTTGAGGGACCCCAACAGAGAGAGAGAGTGAAGGGGAGGTGGCAGCGTTATAGGTAACACTGAAGGAGCGCTGCGATAGATAGGAGGAGAACCAGGAGAGAGCGGAGTCTCTGAGGCCAAGAGTGCAGTTTTTTTGAGGAGGAGAGGGTGGTCAACCGTGTCAAAAGCCGCAGAGAGGTCAAGAAGTAGGAGTATAGTATAATGGCCATTAGTTTTGGTTGTTAGTAGGTCATTGGTGAGTTTGCGTAGGGCAGTTTCGGTGGAGTGTAGGGGCCGGAAGCCGGACTGTAAAGGGTCGAGAAGGTTGTTGTCGGTGAGATGGGAGCTTAGGCAATTGTAGACTAAGCGTTCTAGGAGTTTAGAGGTAAATGGCAGTAGGGAGATGGGTCTTAGGTTGTTCAGGTCGGAGGGGTCCAGGGAGGGTTTCTTAAGGGGGGTGATGTGCGCGTGCTTTATAGGGGAGGGGAAGGTACTGGTGGAGAGGGAAAGATTGAAGATGTGAGTGAGGGAGCATAGGATGGAAGAGGAGGGGGACCGCAGGAGTTGTGAGGGGACAGGGTCCAGGGGGCAGGTGGTGAGGCGGGCTTCGGAGAAAATCTTAGTGACCTCTTTGGTGGTAGTGAGGTCAAGGGAGCAAAGTGTTGAGGGGGTTATTGTGTGAGGAGTGCTAAGTGGGATGGGTGTCTGAGCAGTGGCGAAGTCCCTACGAATTGCGTCAATCTTGTTTTTGAAGTGGTTAGCAATCTCGTGGGCGGTAAGTGAGGTACTGGGCGGAGGTGGAGGCGGAGAAAGTAGGGAGTTAAGAGTGGAGAAGAGCAGGCGAGGGTTGGAGGAGAAGGTATTGATGAGGTTAATAAAGTAGGCCTGTTTGGCAGCGTGGAGGGAGGAAGTGTAAGTTAAGAAGGCAGATTTGTAGCGGGTGAACACTTGTTGGGATTTGGTTTTACGCCATAATCGCTCGAGCACACGACTATGTCGTTTGAGGTTTCTGGTGAGGTCGGTCTGCCAGGGTTGTAGTGGTCGGGGCCTAATGCTTCGTGTTGTTAGGGGTGTGAGCGAGTCTAGAGAGGCTGAAAGAGAGTTGTTGTAGGCAGTAGTGGCTAGGTCAGGGCAGGACAGGGGATGGATGGTGTTGTAGAGTTGGTCAGTTGCAGAGTGGAAGGGAGCAGGGTTCCAGTTCCGGAGGTTTCTGCTGTTTAATGCTTTGGCGGGATAGGTGTTTGAGGACGAGGAGACGGAGAAGGTGATGAGGTTGTGATCGGAGAGAGGAAAGGGGGTGTTTGTGAGGTTTCAGGGAGCGCAAAGGTGAGAGAAGACAAGGTCAAGAGTGTTCCCGTCAGAGTGGGTGGAGGACTGTATGCACTGAGTTAGTGCAAAAGAAGAGGTTATGTGGAAGAGTTGGGATGTAGCCGGGTTATTGATGTTGATAGGGATGTTGAAGTCTCCAAGAATGATAGTGGGTAGCTCAGAGGAGAGAAAGCAGGGTAGCCAGGCACCGAAGTCATCAAGAAAGCGAGACACGGGTCCAGGAGGCCGGTAGATCACTGCAATCCTCAGAGATATTGGAGAGAATAGCCGGACGCAGTGGGTCTCGAAGGAGGAGAAGGATAGAGAGGGAGGGTTAGGGAGGACTTGGAAGGTGCTCAGTGGTGACAGGAGCAAACCAACCCCACCCCCTTTCCGACCACTGGGTCTGGGTGAGTGGGTCCAGATGAGACCTCCATAGGAGAGTGCTTCGGGGGAGGTAGAGTCTGTTGCTTGGACCCAGGTTTCAGTGATCCCTAGGAGGTTAGGGGAGCAGGAGACAAAGAGGTCATGGATGGAGGTGA